ACCCACAAGCATGCAGGAGAGACTAAGTGAGTAACCCCACACCCCGTGAGCTGGATAAAGGGAAAGGGCATTCGGGTGGGAAACCTGATTCGCCTCCATCTGGAACTGCTTTCATTTAAGGTGGCAGCTTCAGGGACCTCTTGGCCAGGGATTCCCTCAGGCAGCTGGGTGAAGAGATTTCATTTGGGGTCTGAGGAGGTACACAAGGAGAGGCTGGCTAGTTCTCCAAGAAGAAAAGAGAAAACCCTTCTGATTACTTGTACATAGTTCCAGGACGTTGTCCTCAATTTTACAGTTCCTTGGGCATCCCATGTATCCCTCAACCCTATGCAAGTTATCATCTCCAAATAAAATCCCCCAAAAAACTTCAAGGACTGTTTACTGTCTCTGAGTACAAGTCTTGAAGGAAATGCGTGTTGCCGGGCTGTGCAGAACTATAGGGGTACCCAAATTTCTAGCGACACCTAAGGGGGTTGTACTATATTATTGATAGGAAAAAGATGATAAGATTGGTATTGTTTCCCAGAAAAGGTAGCAACCTAATCAGTGTAGAGTCTAAACTAGGCATTCCCCAAAATGGCTGCTAAAGTCCATGAAAAACATTTAATATGTGTCTCATGAGCAGGGGCGGACTGACAACTCTTGGGGCCTCCAGGCAATAGGGAATCATGGGTCCCCTGTGTCCTTGACCAAACTCAGAAAAGCCTATAAAAGGGTACCAGGGGCATCTCATGGGGCCCCCTACTGACCCCGGGCCCTCGGGCAGTGCCCGGGTTTCCAAATGGTCAGTGCGCCCCTGCTCATGAGCCTTGACTGTTCCTTTTTGCACACCATTTGAGTCCATTTATATTAACCCACAACAACCAATCAGAAATCTTTCAATAATTGAATCCAGTATTCAGTTCTGTGTCACACTCGTACTGTTGGAATGAAAAGGTTATTGGGAAATATTTTCCCACTTTTTTAGATATTTGCCACAGCGAACTACTGCAGTGAGTACAGTGTGTACAAATATACAGTATGTAATGCAATCGGCAGTACTGAAAGCAATGATGCAATGTTACTGTAATTACTTTTGGTGGCTATGTGTTCTTTCTCTACTTCCACCTTTTGGAACATGTAGCATGTCATAAGAGTACACAAAAAGTTGAGTAATAACATTTTCGGTAATTCAGCATGAGTGGCAGTCAATGAAGGTGTTCCGGTTAAAGGGCTCCTTGGAACACAATAATTGAACACACTCCCATCTCATATATTCAGTGCTGTCAATTTAGAGGATAAGCATACACATATACAGAGGAAATGCCTTGCTCTGCCTGCCAAAGCTTTCAATGGTATATTCAAGACCAATTGGGAGAAAATGTTAATGGAAGTAAAGGCAAAACCTAACTAACTCTAAACCTACTCTCTGCCACATTCTAGCCTAATCTACAGTATATAGCCCTGTAAAGAAAAACTCATTATAGTTACCTATCCTGCAGTGGCTCTGCTCCGGTCCCAGGCTGGGCTGTCAGTGAAGGCTTCAATGTGTAGGAGAGGCAGCCAACAACGGAAGACTCATAGTATGTCTATGGCAGGGGCGGACTGACCATTTGGAAACTCAGGCACTGTCCGAGGGCCCGGGGTCAGTAGGGGGCCCCATGAGATGCCCCTGGTAACTTTTTCATAGGTTTTTTTGAGTTTGGGCAAGGACACAGGGGCCCCATGATCCCCTATTGCCCGGGGGCCCCATGAGTTGTCAGTCCGCCCCTGGTCTATGGGTGATGCCGCTTCCCAGGCATTTCCCAGCCATCGTCAGCTGGCTGGCACCGCTGGAGAGTGAACTGTAGAATAGGAGTAGGTTTAGAGTTAGTTAGGTTTTGCCTTTACTTCCACTTTAAGGATTACATACTGGAAACTATAACAGTGCCATGGCTAGTGGATCCCACCGCAGGAAAAATGGCCCATGTTCCTGAGTCACAAAAAGGTGCAAATTGTGATACTGCAATACTGGGTATGTCTCTGTTCATTAGCACTCACAGTTTTAGCAGTCTGTTAACTTTGCAAATACTGAACACGGATGACCCTAGACATAACATGACATTTTCCATGGATGCAGCACCCTCCTAGATAGGTGCTAGCTTAGGTAAATGTAGTTCTTTAGCTCTCCTGTAATCAGTGGAGATGCCTGTGATTGCACAGGCTGTGGGTTTGGCTGCTCCCCCCTGCCTTCTGGATAATTCTGGAAGGTAGTGGGTTTTGAAAGTCAAATTTAGAGTCTGAATTTTTATCTGGGCTCAGCCAATCCCTGGGGGAGTGTGCCCAGATGGTGGCTGGGAGTGTTTATAAATACTCTGAAGCCTGGAGCTGCCCTGTTCTTGTCCTTTAGGACAGTGGTCTCTAAACTGCGGCCCAGGGGCGCGATGTGGCCCTTTGCCTGCTTATATCTGGCCTTTGGGGCACTATTCTACTGACACAAATGATCCGGCACCATTTCTCCCACTGACACTAACGACGGGGGGGCACTATTCCTCCACTGATGCCAACATTTTAGTACTATTCCTCCCACTAAAACCAATGATGATGCACTATTCCTCCCACTGACACCAATAATGGGGCACTATTCCTTCCACTGACACCAATAATGGGGCACTATTCCTTCCACTGACATCAATAATGGGGCACTATTCCACCCACTAAAACCAATGATGGGGTACTATTTCACCCTTGATACCAACAATTGGGAACTAATTTCCCCATTGATACAAACAATGGTGCACTATTCCTCCCACTAAAACCAATGATGGGGCACTATTCCTCCCACTAAAACCAATGATGGGGCACTATTCCTCCCACTAAAACCAATGATGGGGCACTATTCCCCCCACTGACACCAATGATGGGGCACTATTCCTCCCACTAAAACCAATGGTGGGGCACCATTTCCCCCAGTGATACCAATGATTGTGCACTATTCCTCCCATGACACCAATAATGGGGCACTATTCCTTCTGCTAAAAACCATTGATGGGGCATTGTTTACTGTCATTGACGTTTGGGCATTTTCTACTCCCACTGGACACAGTCTGCCCCTCCTTAAAGTGTTACGAAACCCATAACAGTAAAATCAGTCTGTATATACTATCCTCCCTTTCTTCCACAGTCCCCAACCCATCTGCTGATAGTACAGATTCCTAGGATGCACTCTTCACATGCTCAGTTTGGTGTGTATTGCTAGAGAGGTTTTTTTGGGGGGGGTTTTGGGAGAGTGCATGTGACCAGCACATGGCCAATCAGCATTATCCAAGCAGAGGGTTAGGGGTCGTGCAGCATCACAGGACTGTCAGAGGAGAATGAAAACTCCTCCTACAAGCTTTAACTAGTGCTCGGCCGGACCTGATAGAAGTCGCAGGACTGCTATATACTGCTGATGAGAAAAGGTATTTATCAGTTTAAATTTAATAAAATAATTGCATTTCCATTTTCCGTGTACTGTGGGAGACCAGATATAGTGAATGCAGCCTGGGTCCTCCTCTTCTTGGTTACCCCACCAGTGCTCCTGGCCCCTACCTCCTGTCAGGTGCCCCCATAGCAAGCAGCTTGCTGTAGGGGCACCCGAGCAGCGCACTGTCGAGCCATGGCTCTGCATGTCCATTCACACACAGAGCCACAGCTCAGCTCCACCTCACCCTCTCCTGATTGGCTCAATGGTTGTGATTAACAGCAGTGGGAGCCAATGGTTCCTGCTGCTTCCTCAGCCAATAAGGGGTGAGAGTCCCCAGAGAACCATGGCTCTCGTGGACATCGCTGGATCGGGATGGGGCTCAGGTAAGTGTAAGAGGGGGATGGGGGGGGGGCTGCTACACACAGAAGGTTTTTTACCTTCTGCATTCAATGCATGAAGGTAAAAAACCTTGAGCCTTTAGAACCACTTTAAGCCTGGAGGACAGTAAACTGGCCATTTGTTTGGAAAGCCTGGAGACCCCTGCTGTAGGAGAAGTTCGTAGCCTGGAAGACTGCTGTCATTACTTTGGTTCTACAGGCCTTCCCTAATCTTAGTGGGTTAAATGCCTCTACCTGTTACTGTTAGGAGGCCCCAGTAAGCAAAGTGAGAAGTAAAATCACTGAGTTCTGAACGTTTATCTGACTCAACCACACCCCGAAGACTGTTCAGATACAGTATGTGACAGACCGGACCGGGACAGGGTCTTTTGGAGGAGACTACAGCCTAGCCTCTTGCCTACTGACTATGGGCCCTGGTGTTTGAGGGAGATTTATTCTTTGGGAGTTGTGTGCCTGGGAAACCTGTTGGAGTAGTTTTAAGTTCATGTCTCCCAAAACCACACAGACTTTGAGATCTGGAGAAACAGGATACAGATTTGGGGTATCTGTGCCCAAACCAGCATTGACTGCTTCAACCCCCCTTCTAGACTTAAGGACTCTAAGCAGATGTTAATATAAACAGCTCAAAACAACCTGATGCTGAAGTCTATTGCTGTAATCTCTTTATTAAGGTGTGATGTGTTTACTGTTGTGTCTTTGTTTCATTGTTAATTGAATCACCTATTGTTTCTGTCTGTTGGCTAGTCCTCCTAGAGGTTCCTACATGGTGGGATTATTGTTGTGTCAATTTTACCTTGGTATCTAATCAGTGTGTGATGTTTATTCCAGTGTGTAATACTTGTTTTTATTGTTCATGTGGGGACTGCCCCTATTTCTGAAGTGTATAAAAACCTGTATTTCTGTTCAAATAAACAGTTACAGCTGCAGCTAAGCTAGTGTTGTCTAGTTCTTTGGTGAAATTCCCAGCTATTATACTTTGGTTCTGTGTCCCAGCAGTGAGGAAGCAGTTCTCTGATGGAAGCACCCAGGCAGGGTACCAGATGGTCTGTCACACAGTATATGGTTAAAGAAGATGATAAGTATTTGGGTAAGGTTTTCAGAAAGTTCTCTCTATCCTTTTGAACTTTGCTTGAGGAGCATGTCTTCTTAGAAGGATGTCTGCTTAAACATTGTCCTAGCCAAGGCCATCATGTGCAGGGGCGGACTGACAACTCATGGGGCCCCCGGGCAATTGGGGATCATGGGGCCCCTGTGTCCTTGCCCAAACTCAAAAAAACCTATGAAAAAGGTACCAGGGGCATCTCATGGGGCCCCCTACTGACCCCCGGGCCCTCGGGCAGTGCCCGAGTTTCCAAATGGTCAGTCCGCCCCTGATCATAGGCTATAAGAATGTGCCCAAAAAGTTTTCTACTCGTTTTCAGCATAGACACACACCTTTTCTTCAACTCAGGTCAATTTCCAATATGTCCCTTTGTTTAGTTTCGATGATGGCAGGAAAATCACCTGTTGCAATGGCAACACTAATTATTCAAAAATCAAATGATTGGTCTACTTACCTGAATTTTCTTTCCTTTTTCTACTCATCTATGGATAGCTTTAATGTGCTATTATATCCACCTACGTCTGCTAGCACATCTAATACTATCCTCTAACCAGATAGACAGTGCTGCTGTCCAAAGTGTCTCCTTAATCCAGAGTGGAGACACCCTAAGACAGGAAGTATGTTAATGACTGGATCACCAGGTGAACATAAAGGAAATAAAATACAGCAACCACCACATTTAAAGAATGGTAGGCTGCAATATAATAAAAGGTTGATTTTAGGGTTAATACTCCTTTAACCTATTTTGGATAAAAAGTTTTGACTGGACATATGCTTTAAAGAATGCTTACAATTTAAGAAAAACTAATGAAATTTGACAAACCTAACTATCTCAATTCTCCTTCCCGGAGTTGTGTCTGGTTTTCACCTGGATCCCCAGCAGGTTAATTCTCCCACGCTGGCGCTCACGCTCTCCCACGGAGTGACATGTGTTGTTTCCTAGCAATTCAGCATAATAAGGATTCTTTGCAAAGATACATTACTGCATCTCTCCTCCCAGCCAAAGACCTTGACAAGAGGAAAAGCAAAATATAAACACAATTCATTATTCCTGCTGTGCTGGCTAAGTGTCAGGTCAGACTATTTTAATGGTAAACAATATGAAACCTTGTGGGATCAACAAGACGGAAAAATTAATACGGCAGACTCGGGAGTCAAAATGACAGTTTTGATACCATAGCAACTAATGATAAAATCAGACTTCAGCACCGCAGCACAAGAGCTCTGCTATACTGGCAGGTCTCGGCACAAAGTTGTGCTAAGTTCTTGCATCTGAACACATGGGTTTGTAGGAAATTTAACTGTATTATGTGTGGTTACCCCAGAGGTGATGGTATCAAGAAAAAGGAGGTAGCACAACCAAATCTTTAACAGAGCTTTTAGCCAATGAATTGGCAGATACAAAAAAAAGTGTAAAGATAGGCCCCTAGCTATGAAGCCAAATAAGTGCAGGGCCTACATGACTAGATGGAATGACTAGATGGAAGGAGAAACAGTTAGTGTGGAGTTAAATGTATGTTAAAATATAAGTAGTGGTCACTTACCAGATTGGTTAGAAGTGAACTCATGGGAAGGAGCTCGGAAGGATAATCTGTGAAGAGGGGTAAAGTATGTTTCAGTCAGAGAACTGCAGTCATCAAGTCCTTCACTCCCACGGTTGGAGCAATTGTCAGCGTGGTGTCCTCTAATAAGTCTGGGTCAGCTTTTAGTCACCAGGATGTGTTTGATCAAGTGAACGTCCTTCATTACCACGGTTTGACCCATCTTCCATGTGGCGTCCTCTAATCAGTTCGGCCAACTTTTAGTGGCCGGGTAGTTTAGACCAGGATTGTGTCTGATCAAGTGAATGTCCCTCACTCCCACAGCTGGACCCATCTTTGGTGTGGCATCTTCTGATCAGGTCAACTCTTAGTGGACAGGTAGTTTAGATCAGGATGTATCTGATCTAGTAAACATGCCTCACTCCCATAGTTGGACCCATTGTGTGGCTTTCTCTAATCTGTCTGGTCAACAGTTAGTAACCAGATATTTAGACCAGGATGTGTCTGAGGTCAGCTGAGATCATCCTCAAGGCGATGTCCTGCAGCTGGGGGCATAACGTATTTAACTGGTACCATGGACACTAGACTTCTGGTATTGTCCTATGGTACTTCAAGGACCTGCTTATTTGATCTGTAATGTTATGTTTTCTTGTTATTTAAATGTTTGTATGTTATAATAAAAGGCTGCTGTGGACATTTAAACTTTACTTGAGAGTAAAGTGTCTTCCTTGGCAGAACTCCAGGAAGGAGATTTTGAGAGGGGACAGGTGGATAAGGGGCAGGGTACCTCTGGCCCACCCTGTTCATGTGTTCCACCCTTCCGCTCCACCTTTAGTAGTACAGAACAAATAACTTTAGATAAGAGTAAGGAAAACAGGTCCAAGACTGGCCATACACACATACTGGGGAATTAACATCATAATGGTGCAGGAAACTGACGTTTTTTGCTTGCGCATATTAACAAAGCAGATAGACCTGTTTCAGGTCCATCTGAGCCACCCAAAGTAAAATAGAAACTGATGTGGGTTCTTCAACTAATTAATAAAAAAAGATATCAAGGGTTGGAAACCTCCACTTCACCAAACAAACCTCCTTGGGGGTAGAGCAATAAAATGGCACTGGTATGATGATTCAGTTATTGGGGTTTTGATATTGCACTTATCCATGGCAGAAAAAACTTGAAGGAGTTCAGATGATCTGTTGATTAACACCAGATATCTCTATTATATTATAAGTCTGGTAGGTAAAATCGAAGCGGCGGGCATGCTTATTTATGTGATTGTACGCAGAAAAAATTGCAACTCAACAGACACAGTGGGGGAGATTTACCAAAACTGTTTCCACTCAGAATCTGGTGCAACTGTGCATGGTAGTCAATCAGCTTCCAACTTCAGCTTGTTCAGTTAAGCTTTGGTAATAAAACCTGGAAGCCGATTGGTTTCTATGCAGAGTTCACCAGATTTTGCACTCTTTGGTTTTAGTAAATAACCCACAATGTGACACAAGCCTTTGCACAGTTGTACAGGCTCCTCTTCTGAACTGAAATTGCTTAATCTGATTTCATTACACACTCTGAGCTCCTTACAGTTATACCTTATACCGTAAATCGCTGAAAGAACTGTTGGCACCAGGGGCGGACTGACCATTTGAAAACTCGGGCACTGCCCGAGGGCCCGTGGTCAGTTCAGGGCAGGGGTGGACTGACATTCGAGCACTCAGGCACTGCCCGAGGTCCCGGGGTCAGTAGGGGGCCCCATGAGATGCCCCTGGTACCTTTCATTGGCTGTTTCATAGGCTTTTTTGGGTGTGGGCGAGGACACAGGGGCCCCATGATCCCCTATTGCCCGGGGGCCCCATGAGTTGTCAGTCCGCCCCTGGTTCGGGGCCTCATGAGATGCCCCTGGTACCTTTTTCATAGGCTTTTTTGAGTTTGGGCAAGGACACAGGGGCCCCATGATCCCTTATTGCCCGGGGGCCCCATGAGTTGTCAGTCCGCTTCTGGTTGGCACTACATAAATCTTGCATAATAATAATGATACATAATATATATATTAAAGCAGATTTTATTATTTCTTTATCCCTTTACTACACCATTCTGCCCTTTATTATTATTATTATACAGTATTTATATAGCGCCAAAGGGTTTGCTCAGCGCTGTAGGTCTCTTCAATGACTTGCTGAAAAACAGATACCTTGCTTCTAATAATTATCAGGATCAGGATGAAATAGTATTGTCAAAGGTTATTGGAGAGTTGTATGACACAAGGGTCCCCTATGCCACTGGGCCCTTGTGCCCTCCCAAAAAATTATTAATACTTTTTTGTGTTTTTTTCAGAAATTTTGTGTTTCCTCTAGAAACCATATCCTGCATTGATGAATCCGAACATGATCGAACAGTCTGTCCCAGCATGGCTCCGTATGCTGCTACTGAGTACCTAGCAAGTAAAGCATTGATGTGAATGGCTGACATGCAATGTACAGAAGTTGGATCCAGTAAACAAGAGTCACTTATTAACAGTGAACTCTGCTATAGATTGTTTAAGGCCCGTGATGTGTCAGTAAGTCCAGAGAGCTTTATACTGTCAGAGAATTGTATTCTCAGCACAATGATGATTCTCTGCACAGATCTTCAATACAGTATGTTCCGGAAGTGCTGCCATGACAACTTAAGTGTACGAAGATGTAAACCCTATAACCCGCAGTAATGTATTCGCCAAAGCAATGAATGCTATCTACACATAGTCAAGTCCTGTTAATTGGGTGTTTTACCTTGGCAATCCTTTAGCATCTATTATACGGCATGATGCACTCACTCCTCCATAGCACACTGAGCATGAATTAATTAGAGGATAACTGCACTTAGAAAACAATGATCACCATTTTATCACATAAAATTTTAGAACATTATCAGGTCTTTTTGTAACCACTTCAGTACCAGCCTGTAATACCCTTTCATTCCAGCCATTTCTTGGTTTTTAATGCTGTCATAGTTTGACTGGCAATTACGCTGTCATGCAACTCTGTATCCAAATGAATCATATCTCTATATATCATTTTTTGAGACACGTAGATCTTTCTTTTGGTGATATTTAATAGCTACTGTTTCTTCATTTTTATAGCACCCCCTGACCCCCAAAGGCATATGAGGGACCCCCAGTGTCAAGGTGGGCTGACATTTACCCCAAGGCCCGAGTCTATGGCTGGTGATGGGAGATTGTGAAACATTGACTTCTAGTCATTTTATTGCCTAAAGATTTTGTTGTCTCCAGATACACAAGGAGAGAGGGATAACAGCCACAGATACCCATAGTAATGCTTACAGATTTCCAGATCTGCTTTCATCTTTTACAGTGTAAGTGACCTTCAAGCCGACACAACATTGTAAATAACTCACCCCAGCTGGTTAGCAGACTTCTCCATGCATCTTCCCATGTCTCTGTGCATGATCCAAAGCCTTTGTGCATCCTTCTTTTCTGCTACGCACCTTCCTTTGCCTCTTTGCATGCTCTTAGGCTTCTCTGCATCCTCCTAAGCCTCTATACATCATCCTAAGTCTCTGTGAATCCTACCAAAAAAAGTTGCCAGGTCCTTTTGAGGATCCAGCTTCTTCACAGCTTCTCCTTCTAGCAGGATTCTCCTGGTGCTTGATCTTGTTTCAGCTTTGTCCTCTACCAAGAAGGACAGTTTCTGAGGTTCACTTCTCAGCACAAAGCACATGTTAAGCCCCACACAGACTACAGGCCTAATGGACAGCACACC